GTGGTAGTGAGACACAATTGCTCCTGGCAACACCGCTCTATTCCCGAGAGAATGTTGAGCACCAAAGACACTCCACCTGGAGCCTTTCTTTTTGGCAGAACTGGCCTTGGGGCAAAGAAATGCCCATACCTCAACAACTGACAGAGATACAGAGCGTGCATCAATAAATAAAACAGGACTGTCATATCCTGCCAAGACAGGGTAAGATAGTTTTGAAAAGTTGCTTGCCTTTGAAAATGGTATGTCAGTTATGTTAGGCCTTAGCCAAAGTTGGTTGCTTCAACGCTGCAAACATGACTTTGGGTGATTGCCCAGGTAGCTAGTTGTCTCCGTGATTTGTTGCATGTTTTGGAAGTTGTTTTACTGAACTTCCTAATTACCCAGGTAACATTATTTCCCTTCTCAAATCTTCAATGGGGTTGAAGACTATATAAATGTAGTTACTTTTCTCTCACGACTTGGCCAAGTTATTTATTATACAAGACCTAAGCTAGTTAGAATAGGATATTTGTACTTATTGTATATAATTTCATAGTAGGTTTAGAACTCTCTTACTTAAACAAAAGGGGGAGGTGTTGCGGGAGGTCCTTCTGCCCCTCCAACCAATAGCTGCTGTGATACCAGCCCATTGGGGCATGGTCTCTCTCCCTTTAAAAAAGTGGCTATTTCCTCTGCTCGCTCTCTTCACTTCCTGCTCCGCCGGAGACTAGACTCCCTTCCTGGTTGTGCAGATGGCTGTTGTCTGGGACGGTAATCTGTAAGTTTTTTCCCCTTTAAATAAATAACACCCTATTAATCATAACTCCAAACTGATGTGGCCTTGTTCATGACTTAAGCCTTCAAATTAGAACAATTATCAGGTAAGAATTACATTACATTTACACTATCCAGTCCATTTAACCGGCCAAGCTCAGAGAAAGTGCCATATTACCTATCCTATCCTAGTGACTCCAAAGTTTTATGCCTAAACTACTTTCTACCATAATTTGTGTTACCACTTTAAAAATTGTTTTAGAATTTAAAGCATCATACACAAACAACTTAAGATTTTATGTTCTTCAATCTTATAAACTTTACATCTCTTATGTAAACTTTTTATTGGGTAACAAGAAAATCTGCAACAATCCAGTTTTCAACCCTATCAAAGACCCAAGAAAGATATATTACCTGAGTGCAGATCCAGCTACTTCATAAAGTATAGAAATGACAGAAACAGCTGACTGCCTGGACAGTCACCCAAGGTTCCTCTGCAGTGCTGGGGCATTCATCTTTAGCCTAAAGGCCTAGACTATCTGACAGACCTTTTTAAGAATTGGGATATTTTAAAGGACTATCCCACCTTGTCTTGGCAGAGTTTGGCAGTCTTATTCCTTTGCGTCCTGCTATTTCAGTTTGGACAGAATACTGTCAGCAGTTGAAACAAAGGCAGTTCTTTGCCCACTGGTAGCTTTGCCACAAAGGACACAAATTCCATATGGGGGTTCTTTGATCCCCATCATCCTTTCTTGAAGTAGACTGGTGCTGCCAGTAGCAGATGTGTCTCATATTTTCTGCTATTAAAACATTTTCAATCCCATATTCTGTGGGTCTCTGAAGTGTTTGAAGTCATCTATTTAAAATATGTGTCTGATTTTGAAACCATGCCTAACACTGACTCAAACTTTGATTGTTATAGATGACTAACTACTGCCTTTCTTTATTAACCTAAATAGATAGCAAGGACTAAAATTTCACACTACATTTTAAACAAGCTGCATAGGGACAATACCTTAAAAAGTATAGACACACACCCATAACAATGAAAATATTTGAAATTATTAGTTGCTTCTTAGTTTAAAGCAGATCCATCTACACCTGTTTTTCTATCATTACTAAATACCATCCACTTCTTTTCAGAAAGAGATCTCTGAATATCATCTCCCTTGCTTAGTTTCCTCCCTTATCAAAACCAGTAATAATTTGCAACCAACCTCCCAAAACACGATAAACATCCATAATCCATTGAAGGACAAAGATCCACCCACCCCAACTCTTGGAAATGTGGGTGTTGTGTTCTTTAAATTACGTTTTATTGTCTGAGGCAACAAATCTCTAGGGAATCCTAAGAAAATTGCAGTAATGGTCAAATCCTGGGAAAACTAAGTGTAACATTCATTGTCCAGCCTCTGTGTAATTAATAGAACAGTGCAGGGCTTATCTGAAGTCTTGACTGGGTAATCTGTGAGACTGAATCATCTCAGTTGACAGCTTTGATTTTGGATGTATATTTTTGAATAATTTGTAATAGGGGCATTTTAGGAGGCTGGATCACCTGGGCTACTTGTATTCATTGGTGTCTGGTCATTTTTTCTGAAAACATACAATATTTTTAAAAACACACAAACTTTTAAAGGTAAAATACATATCTGCATTAAGACAAGCATATAAAATGTGTGTTGTAAACAAGTCAACTAAAGATGATTTTTTGTTCGATATTTGAGCAGATAAAGGCATTTGTCAACTTTATAAGTCTATTTGGACTGAATAACCAAATTGTAATGTCATTATTGGCCCCCGTATTCTCATAGGGAGTGCCATTATTAGGAAGTGTGGCTTTGTTGGGGTGGATATGCCTTGTTGGAGGGAATGTGTCACTGTAGGGGTAGCCTTTGAGGTTTCCTGTGCTTAGGACACTGCTGAATGTCTGTTGACTTCCTGTTGCCTGCAAGGTGTAGCACTCTCAACTCCAGTACCACATCTGCCTACACACCACCATGCTCCATCATAAAGATAATAGATGAACTTCTGAAACTATAAGAAAGTCATCTCAATTGAATGTTTTCTTTATAATGGTGTAGCCATAATGTCTCTTCACAGCAATGAAAACCAACAGCATAAATAGCATTTTGCACTGGTGAGATAGGAAAATTGTATGTGGACTGCAAGGCTATACCTCATGAGGATTTTCACGACTGTGAATTTGTTTTAATTTTGAATGCTACTGCAATATGCAAAATCTTTGTTACTTCAATGTTCATAGGATGTCTATCTAGTATGACTTCTTTCGTGCCTATAAAGATTACACTTATCTGCAAAAACTTTACTACATTGATGACATTTATAGGGTTTCTCTCCCCTATGACTTCTTTCATGACGGTAAAGATTGTACTTCTGTACAAAGGCTTTACCACATTGAATACATTCAAAGGGTTTCTCACCAGTATGCCTTCTTTTATGCATGTAAAGAGCACTGTTACATGCAAAAGCTTTACCACATTGATTACATTCATAGGGTTTCTCTCCAGTATGAATTCTTTCATGACTGTGAAGATTGTTCTTCTGTGCAAAGGCTTTTCCACATTGGTTACATTTATAGGGTTTCTCTCCTCTATGACTTCTTTCATGATTGTAAAGATTATTCTTTTGTGCAAAAACTTTACCACATTGATTACATTCATGGGGTTTCTCTCCAGTATGACTTCTTTCATGCCTGTGAAGATGACTTTTATGTGCAAATGCTTTACCACACTTATTACATCCATAGGGTTTCTCTCCAGTATGAGTTCTTTCATGACTGAGAAGATGACTTTTATGAGCAAAGGATTTACCACATTGATTACATCCATGGGGCTTCTCTCCAGGATGATTTTTTGTATGTATTTGAAGATAAGGAGGCAATGCAAAGTCTCTACCACAGTAATGATATCCACACCTTTTCTCTCTAACATGAGTTCTATGTACTTGCTGAAGACTATGACATTCATAGGTTTTATCACTGTTATCATATTCACAGGGATTTTTTTCCAAATGAGTTCTTTCATGTACATCTAAAGAGGAATCAGATATAAAGGTTTTACATTCATAGAGATCCTCTTCATTATTGGTTGTTTCGTGTGTTTGGAGACATTTGTAACAGCTGAAGTCTTTAGGAGATTTATTATTTCCTCTTCCCATATGAGTTTTTAAATGCCTTTGAAGAGAACTGGAAGGACTCACAGTCTTACCACACTGATTGCATTTATAGCATTTTCCTATCATGTGAGTCACATGACCTGTACAAAGTGATCCAGTATAGACAGACACATTTTCATATTCCTTGTACTCAGAAGGTTTTTCTTCAATATGTGTTTGTTGATATATTCCCACTGAAGTTGGAATACCAATTACTTGTAAGCTTATTTCACAGTCACCATGTCTTTTCATAGAGGGAACTATTACACATCTTTTATTTGTTCTGAGAGAGACAGGAGTACCATGTTTCTTTCCACATCCCATATGCTCACATGGCTTGCATCCACAGTGACAGATGATATACCTATTAACAAGAGAATAACCAAGAATTTTACATTGCACTCGCATAGTCTAATGTTTTATGTCTCATACAGATGTAGTATAGGGATTCAGGTTTCTACACCACAATAAATTTCTTGTCTCTCATCAACTGCTCCTTTTACTAAACTATGGTAAGTCACTCTATGACTTATGAGGAACACTAGCTTTAATATGGAAGATTTGCTTATGAAAGGTCTTGGACATTCACTAATCCACCTATCGATGTGAATAACTTTTATGATAATTGAATGGTATGCAAGCAAGTAGATACACAGATCTACAACATGCCTTTCATATGCCTATGATTAAAACTGTGACACCTTTTAGGACATTGGTTCCTTATCTTATTCTTTATAGAAGGCTTTGCAAACAATGATCAGCTACTTAGCATTGGAGTACAGGATGTTGTGAGAGTTTAATAATTGTCACAGATCTGTGCTTGTTTACATTGCTGCTTTTCATTAAAACTTCATGGTATATTAACATCTCTCTAGAGGTACATATGTATCAGCTTGAACATGAAGATTACCTTCCAGGTCTCCCAGAACTTTGAAAATGTTCTTCAGTATTGTGGTTTTCCCATTTGTACCCTAAAATACAGTACCAGAAAATGTATATGATATATCACTCAAAATTAAGCACAACTGAAATTACTCTCTTTTGTGAACCTTAGAAAAATGCTTGATTTATTCACTCGATTATACCTCTTTTGCATTTGAAATTACAGAATAGCAATGATCTCAAAGAAAGGCATGGCTCCTTAAGTTAAAAAGTGACATAAAGCTCATGTTATTACCTATAGAGGTGAGGTTCCAGTAGGTTTCCAGCATCACATCTTTGTAGAGACTCTTCTGAGATGGATCCAGCAAAGTCCACTCTTCATGAGTGAAGTTCACATGCACATCCTCATAGGTCACTGCATCCTAAAGTATCCCAAATATGTATATAATAGAAAGGTTGAGACAAACTGTATTTCAAATGTCCACTTCATTGAAAATATAGTTACATAATTCTGAATACTCAATGCATTCTATGAAATGTAGCATAGAATTTCAAATGCAGCCACCAACTCATTTCATAAGAAAATAGAAAAGGAGAATAATGTTTTCTATTTCTGTGCCCACCAAATAGAATATGGCATTGAAAGAGAAATAATATATTATTCCTATAGTAATATATACAGGGAGATATACAAACAGTTTAACACTATTTATAATATATCAGAAAAATTGTATCCAATTTGTTAACTACAAAAAAGGGTAGACAATATGGTCATGGTGGTACACACCTTTAACCCCAAACCTCAGGAAGCAGAGATAGAAACTATTATTCCATGCCAGACTAATCTATGTAGACATTTCCAGGACAACCAAAGTTACATAGTGAGATCTTGTCTGAAACAAAAAAAAAAAGGAAGCACTCAAGGGCTTCCTCAAAATTGCTCCATAGTGTTAAACATTCCCTCCAATTCTGTATTGGTGTATTACAAACTGGAGTGACCTCTTGTAAATTGTAAGGCTAATAAATCCTAGAAAGGTAATTCTTTTTAATAAGTTATGGACTGACAGATCAAAATTTCTCAAGAATATTAGCAAATGCTTATCCTAAAACAATAAAACAATAACAATAAAAATGCTGGGGTATATAAAGAATAGTCAACAGATAAGATCACCTTTTGCTTTTGAAGAGATCACAGATCAATCCCTATCACTCACTGGAGGCACTAAACTGCTCAACTGAAGGACCTGGTTTTAGCTCTGAGCACCAATATTGCTCAAAATAACCTGTAATTCCAGTTCCAGATGATTTTCTGGTCTCCATGGGTATCAGTCATACACACTATACATATAATTAAAATCCTATTAAAACAAAAAACAAAGGGGCACAACTCAACCTCAAGACAGATATAACCTCAGAGTAAAAAATTGAGAAAAGATTTTCCAATCAAATGAACCTAAGAAACAAGCAGGTGTAGTTATTGGACTATCTAATAAAATAGACTTCAAACTAAATTCAATCAAAAGAGATGGAGGAGGACAGTTCATATTCATCACAGGGAAAATCCATCAGATGAAGTCTCAATTATGTACATATATGCCCCAAATACAAGGACACCCAAATTTGTAAATGAAACATTACTACAGTTTAAACCAAACCCCACACACTAGTAATAAGAGACTTCAATACCTCAACTCACCAATGAACAGGTCTGCCAGACAAAATTTAACAGAGAAATAGGGAAGTAACAGATATTATGACTCAAGTGGACCTAACAGACATCTATATATCATTTGACCCAAACACCAAAGACTATATCTTCTTAGTACCTCATGGATCCTTCTCTAAAAGTAACTACATACCTGGTAACAAAGCAAACATCAACAGATACAAAAAAAAGGTATAACTCCCTGATTCTTATCAAATCACCATGGCTTAAAATTATAATTCAACAACAACACTAATGGCAGGAAGCCTACAAACTCATGGAAACTGAACAGTGCTCAACTAATTCATAGCTGGGTAAAGAAAGAAATGAAAGAAATTTGAAACTTCAGAGAATTCAACAAAAATGAAAAAACAACATATGCAAATTTATGGGATGCTATGAAAGCAGTGCTAAGATGAAAACTCCAAGCACTAAGTGCTTACATAAAGAACATGCAGAAAGATCACACTAGTAACTTTTTATTTCATTGTATGGACTGCCAAGTTAAACTAACATAAAGGTATCTTGCTTCCAAAATTTGAGTTTAAGGATATGTTGCTTTGGAAAAGAGATTCTTCTTTTGTCTCCACAGAGGATGAGAACCTGTGGATAGCTTCCAGACCAATATGGTTTGATGGAACAAGACCTCCTGAAAGTTCTCTGTGAATACCCCCAAAAAACCCTTAAAAGATTACCTCACTCAATAAACAGCAGGAAGAACGTTGGAGATAACTACACTCATATTCCCAAATATTGACTATAAATGTTTATTTGTACTTAAAGGGGGATATGATATAGATATGAATACTTTGCTGAAGGCGTAAGTCACGAACAAGGCCACACCAGTTTGGAGTTATGATTAATAGGGTGTTATTTATTTAAAGGGGAAAACTTACAGATCACCGTCCCAGACAACAGCCATCTGCACAACCAGGAAGGGAGTCTAGTCTCCGGCGGAGCAGGAAGTGAAGAGAGCGAGCAGAGGAAATAGCCGCTTTTTTAAAGGGAG